AGGGCAGGGGGGAGGCATAGAAGTAAAACGACACCGAGGGCCATGGGGACATGGCTCGAAAGGGAAGGAGCGGAGCCATATAATGGTGATGATAATGGTGATGATGCAAACGCGCACAAAAATACAACTTAGGAATAACTGTCGTACCGTTATGTCGTACAACTTGGGGTCAATGTCGTGCACCAGCCGCGCGGCGGCCCATCCGGAGCCCAGGATAACCACACGCGGTCTGTGGTGTGTTAACACACAGTGGAGAACGGAGGGAGCTCTGGGCTTGGATGTTGGATGGGATGGAAGGTCGCACTAAAATGTGCTTGTCAACGCCGACGGTTAATAACAGGGGATGTGGGCCCGCGTGACACATAGCTGATTGAACCTGCGCTATCGGCGTTGTGATGGGCGAAGATTCTTACGATTGTAAGCGCAACACCCTCTCACCTTCCGGTCCGAAGTGGCAATTGATCCGCTGAAGCTGTCGCCACCTTAGGCATGTTTGCATATTGCCTCTGGATAGTACTGATGATAGATGTAGCTTTCGGAAGCAACCTGTGCTGCCGTGCGATCGCAGGAAGTGCAGCTAACAATCCCCTCATTCCAGACATCGGCTTTCGATACTATTTGTGTAAGCAAGTACCAATTATGTCAACTTGTGACAGTCAATCAGCTTGTCCTATGCTTGGACTGCACGACCGCTGCCTTGCTCCGAAGCGCAACCCAGAGCGCAACCCAGCTCATCCGCCAGTTGTTCAATATGTTAGACCTTTTCATGAACGCGCATGCCATGATGTGGGCGTCAAACCCAATTCCATCTTCGGCTCGGGGTTCGCTAGCCGTACGGTTTCCACGGAACGAACAATCCCACACTTCGAAGCCCTGGCATCAAGGTCGCAATTCACATCTTCAGACACCATGATCGAGAGCTTTATACGTAGATTCTGCTTATGGTGGGCCCATAGACAAACATGTTGACTAGGGAAGGGTCTTTAGGAGCGTGACATCTGGCCCCCCGCTCCGGGGGCAAATAACACAAGCATGGCCTTCCAGACTAAAGTTGCTATTGGTTACAATGGTTCACCGGTCGCATGGTTGGGTTCAGAAGAGGTCGCTTGGACATGCGGAAATGCACTCGTGCTTCAGTCTTTAAACACAAAGACACAGGTTTGTAAGGCGCAAACTAAAGCAGATTATGCACATATGCTAAATGGTTACGTCGATACCGTTTCTCGCAGCGCGTGCTGAAGGGCACTGGGTTCGGCATAAGCTGCTTCACCGTCAGCAAGCGGTACGGACTGATCGCGGTAGCAGAGAAGGTATGCACAAAGGGGTACAGCTAGCATAACCATCGCGCGGCCCGTCCTGCGTGCTAACGGACTACATTTGAAAAAAAAGCTGTCCTGAAGTAATTGGGTCCGAATCGTTGCTTGGTGTAGGCACTCAAGCCAAATGTCTATATTTACGCGATCAAGTCTTTGCAGCTGCTGGCAAAATTGTCGCCCAGCGAGCTGTCAAAGGAGGAGGAGCACGCGCTGCCAGGAGGATCCTCGGAGAAGCAGCAGCAGGCAAACGTCGTGACCCTGGGTATCACGGCGATGGGCTTCTCGGGCGATGGAGAGCGGCTGGTAATCTGTGGGGACGAGCCAGACTGCTCTGTTATCGTGTACAGCTGGCGCAAGGTGAGTCGGTCGGTGCTGATGGCCCCAACTGCCGTGGCTATCCCCTCTTGGCTATCCCCTCCCGGCGGCAAACACCTAAGGGGGCCCCCGCTTAGTGGAGTGGAATCCTCACACATCCTTTGGGCCGCATAAGCCCCACCAGTACCCGGAGACTGAAAAAGTAATCCAGACGATCTGCTCTATGTCAAGAGCAGCTTAACGGGCCGTCCAAACTGCTTACCAAGAATGCCTGTGTCGCACCCAAATCCCGCCGAAATCCCCCGCTCAACACTCCGCCTCCGCCTCTCATTCCCATCAGCAAGCTTTTTTGTTGAGTAAGCTCCTTACCCTCTCCAAACGTGATTCCCCGTCCCCATTACCTTCCCCTCTCATCTCCCCATTACCCTCTCGCTCCGTGCAGGGCGAGGTACACGGCCGCTCCCGCCTGCCCCACAACCAGCCCGCCCACCAGGTCTCCTTTCACCCCCTGGACCCGACCATCTTGGCCACCACGCACAGCGGCACGGTGTCCGTCTGGTATCTAGAGGCCATGTGGGACCGCACCCTGTTCCGATACCAGTCCCTAGGACCAGGGGCTCTGCCGCCAGGCCATGACGTGACGGTACACGCCTGGAGCCCCCACGGACTCTACGTGGGAACTAGCGGCGGCGGCTTGGCGCTTCTTGACCTGCCGTCCATGACACCACTGGTCATTAAAGGAGCGTCGGCAGTGGCGTCGGCGGCAGCGTCGGAGCCGCCGTCGCCTGGCGGTACCGCTGGCGGCGGCGGCGCGGGCGGCGGCTCCGCCGCCGGCGCTTTCGCCGTTGCGATGACGGCGGCTGCCGCCGCCGCCGGCGTCGCTCCCGGGCAGCCGGCAGTCGTACTTGACGCCGCCGGCCCCGGCGCCGGCGTGTCTGCACTGGCGCTGAATCGCGACCACTTGGCGGTGTGCGGTACGGACGGTAGCGTACACGTGTTTAGCCAGGCGCCGGTGGCGGAGGCTCTGGGCCCGCCGGGATTCAGCCACGAAGTCTGGCTGGCACGCGGAGGGTCTACCGGCGTGCCGGTCTCGAGCGCCGATTGCGGAGGACCGGAACACACCGCTCTGCTTCTCGGCTGCCCCGACGGCACGATCTACTGCGCCCCAATGGGGCCCCACACTGGTGCAGGCGTTACGTCGCGGGCGGGTTACACAACGGCGACCCAGATCGGGGATTATCCCGTGGGTCGGCTGGCGGGGATCGTACCGCACCCCGGCGGCGGTGCCTTCCTGACGGCAGGCGCCGACGGCAGTGTACGGCTATGGGCCGCGGAGGATGGACGCCTGCTGGCCCGTAAGGCCCTTAGTTCGGCTCAGTGCGCACTGGCGGCGGCGGCGCCGGGGGCTGGTCTGGCGGCGGTGGGGTCAGAGACGGGCGTCGTACGGGTGCTGGTGCTGCCGCCGGCGCCAACCAGCGGCAGTGACGCCGTCAGCGGCGGCACGCAGCCGTCACAGCAGCTACGGGTCATGTACCGCCGGCGTCTGCATACCTCCGCGATTGACGCGCTGGCTTTCAGTCCGAACAACGACTTGCTGCTCAGCGCCGGTCGCGACGGCGCGGTTTGGCTGTTGGCTCTCGACGCGCGGACCGGGTCGTGCCGTGCTCTTGGTTTCGTGACATTGCCCCCCGGTGAGCGCGTGATGGCCGTGACGTGGCCGCGGGCAGGATCCGACGTACTGGACGGCGAATCGGCATTCATCAGTCTGGCGGGCGGCGGCATAATGTCCCTGACCGCCTCCGCGGAGCTGACTTCAGGAAACTGGCGGAATCCGAATCCGGATTTACAACTTGTACGGCCGACGGCGGTGGCAGCGCATGGATCTCGGTCGCTTGGATCTGACAACGGCGACAGCGGCCCTAGCGGCGCTCCGGAGCCCGTTGTCGTACGGCTGCTGCGGCTGGAGGTGCCGGTGCTCGCGATGACGACGGCGCCGCATGACCGGACGGGGGAACTGTACGGCCTCGGCGCGGATAAGCAGCTGCATAAAGTGGCACTGCCGGCGGAGGCGGCGGCGTGGGCAGGGCTGCGTGCGCGACCGTTTCGGAGCTCCGTACACGTGCCGGCACACGCGCGGGCTGGCGGCGGCATCACGATGGCTCCAGGGGGGCACGTGCTGGTCAGCGGCGGGGCCGACGGCGTCATTGCGATGCGTAACTTGAACCTTGCGGCGCTCGGCGACAGCAGCGCCGGCGGAGGCATCGGCGGCAGCGTGTTGCACGACGTCACCGCCGGCGGCGTGGTGTCCGTCAGCTTTGACGCCACAGGCCGCTACTTCGCCTCCGCCGGTGCCGACGGCGCGATTGTGGTGTTTGAGGTGGGCCCCGCCGCTGGCGCGGCGCACCTTCTGGTGACGCCGCCCTGGCCGGCGGTGCCGTTCGCCGGCAGCGTGACGGCGGCGTCGCGCGTGGAGGCGGATGCCATCGACGACGCTTCGGAGCTGACGGAGGTGGAACTTGTACGGCGCCAGGGGGCGCTGGAGACCGGCGGCATCAATGGCGAGAGCAAACGTGCGGCAGTGGTGTCCAAGTTGATGTCGCTCCGGAGCCGCATCGGGGAGCTTCTGGAAGCCAATCAGGCGGTTCCGGAGCTGGAGCGGCTAGAGCGGTAAGTAGTAGAAGTGGAGTCAGAGGTTTCGGGTTTCGGTTTTCAGTACCAACCCAGAGAGTTTTGGAGCCATCAAACATGCAACGTATCCCTGATATCTAACACAAAGTTACTTAACACACGTATACACACATACATACATACATACATACATACATACATACATACATACATACATACATACATACATACATACATACATACATACACACAGTCCCTCGCCCTCCCGCCCACTCCTAAAACGCCAACCCCACACCCCGTCATATTCATTTCTTCCTCCCCTCCCCTCCTCTCCCCACCATTCCCCCTATCCCCACCATCATCTCCCCTCCCCTCCCCTCCCCTCCTCACCCCTCCCCTCCCCTCCTTACCCCTCCCCTCCCCTCCTTACCCCTCCCCTCCCCTCCTTACCCCTCCCCTCCCCTCCTTACCCCTCCCCTCCCCTGCTCTTTCCTCCTCTCCCCCACCTCCCCTTCCATCTCCCTCCTCTCCCATCCTCTCCCCCGTGCCCAAACCAGCTCCGAACTCATCGTGGACGTGGGCCTCGTGGAGCGCCTGAAGCACGACACGGAGGCGCGCGTGGCGGCGGTGGCGGCGGCAGTCCGCCGCAACAACCTCCGTACTGAGTTGCTGGCGGAGCGGCTGCGGCGCATGGTGTGGGACCACTTGGCGGTGAAGGGCGCGGTGGTCAGCGGCCTGAGGAGCAGCTTGGTGGTGAACAACTTCCCGCTCACACAGCCCGGGCCGCACGAGCGAGTGCTGCGACAGGTGTGAGACTGGCGGGGGGGGGACACGAACACACGCCCTTCCCCGCCCCCCTGCGCGCGTGTGAATGAACATAAGCTGTGAAAGGGAAGAACATCCGCGAGTGTGTGTATGTGTATGCGTGTATGTGTATGCGTGTGTGTACGCGTGTACGTGTGTGTGTATGCGTGTACGTGTGTTCGCGTGTGTGGGGTATGTGTGGGGCAATGAATTGTTGCTAGGCTGCATGTAAAACTTGGTAATTGCGAACCAGCTGTCAAAGTACTTATATACATACCGCCGATTGGCAGGCACCCCGCAACCGCTTCTGCCTGTTCGCTCGCCTGATATCCTCCAATACACAACTGTGCACACAAAAACCCGGCAAACGGGTAAACCGTAATCAACGGTAACCGTTAACTAACTGTCGCAGGTGACTCTGCTCCGCCGGGTGGAGCTCCTGGAGCATCAGGCCCTCGGGGTGGTGCCGTACAACTTCATGTTCAGGTGGGTGGCTCACTGGCGCCCTGGTTCCGACTTCCCCTGCAACCAACCAACAACCAACCAACTACCAACCAACCAACACCTTCCTTTCCGAGTCGCAGCACCCCCACGTTGATCGCCCCCCCTTCCTCCTCCATTCGGCCGTTGTCATCCGTGTTGCTGCCGTGTCCTCCACAGGCGCACCCTTTCGCCCACCCGCACACGGCACACACACGCATACACACACACACAACCCCCCTCCCCACCCGCACATCGCATCGCAACCCATCGCACTTTCCGCCCCAACCCCAACAGAGGCTCCGCGTTCGAGAGCGCCGGCGACGGCGACGACAATTACGACGGCAGCACACCCACGCCCGACGCTGCCGCGGCGGCGGCCGCTGCAGCCGTCGCCGCTGCTGCGGCGGCGTCGGCGACTGGCGCCGCCGGCTCCGACCCCGATACGCTGATGTACAGCGACTTTGACCTGCACTGCAACACACGCAGGGCGCTGCAAATTCACCTGCTGAGACAAAAGGTGAGTAGGGGTCAAGGCTAGGCTGGGTAGGCTGGTAGGTTGTATCACCTAAAGCGGAACCAAAGGGGAAGAAGACGTCCTTTTGCAGAAAAAAAGAACCGACCGGCGGATGACAGAACCCTGATACCCAGGACACTGCAGGCTGCCAGACGGGTGGTGAGCTAGGTAATAATAATAATAATAATAATAATTAATAATAATAATAATAATGATAATAATAATAATAATAATTATTATTATAATTATTATAATAATAATAATAATAATTATTATTATAATTATTATAATAATAATAATAATAATTATACTTATAATAATAATAATAATTATTATTATTATTATCATTATTATTATTATTATTATTATTAATTATTATTAATTATAATATTATTAATTATTACTATTACTATTATTATTATTATTATTATTATTAATTATTATTATTATTATTATTATTATTGTCGAAATTTTATCGTTAATTCTAACGATAATATTGATAATAATGATGGTGATCGTGTTAATGATGATTATTAGGAGGAGTAACACCTCAGGTACGCCCCAACCCGCCACAACCCGCCACAACCCAGCCCAACCCAGCCCACCCCGCAGCAGCAGTCGGTGCTTTAGGGGCGCCTAGACAGTTGACCGAACCCCCACAGCCATTCGATGCTTCTCCCACCTGGCCCCCCACCCCCCAAAAACGAGGATTTAGTAATAATACTTTGAACATAATGTGACCTCCTTTTTCAACCTCTTATGACCTTCTCGTGGCTCGATTCATCTAAAGCACACACACATACACACACACACATATACACACACATACCCCGATATCGGCCCTCCCCTTTCCCCCCACTCGCATTCTCCCCCTCACCGTCCTCCAACCCCCCCCTCCACCCCCCCCAAAAAATGTGGACCCCCAAGATCCGCAACCTCAAGGTGACTTTCAACACGGACTTCAACCGTGTGGCCGCTCAGAAGCGGTCGGACTGCGACCGCATTGCCGACCTGAACGCCAGGATGGACGAGACCGTCAAGGACCTCAGGAAGATGGGTGCAGGTGGGTTTGGACGGGTGCGGGTGGGTTTGAAACATACATACAGACATACATACATTCAGTCATACAGTCGTACATACAGTCATACATACACCTCGTTCGCTTGTTTTTCCTCTCATGTATAATCCGTTCCATCTCGGCCTAATTCCCCGGCCCC